CATAGAGTGGGAATGACTATATGGTGATGTAAAAGTTTTCATGTTTCTGGGAAGGGAAATGAGTCATTGACTAGCTAGCGGAGAAGAATCCAGGATGTAATGAGACCCTAGTCATTATTCAAGTCTCTGTGAAGGTGGCCAGGACTCCAGCTCACTAGGTTGAACAGAAGGCAGATTGAACATTAAGAATTTTAATGAAAATCCAAGTGTAGAGATGACTATGCCTCACTTCCCAGGGAAACTCTGGGCATCATAAAGCTCTCTCTGTATATTCTCTGACCCTGGAAAGGTAGACAAGCAATGGTCAAGAGAAGTGCCCAGGCAGATGGGCCTGATTGCCACCTGACAGGGTTCCCAGGCCCTCAGAGGAGTGAGCCTCTAAAGTGATTTCATGCACCTCATGGAGGGCATAGAATAGTTTAAGTAGACCATCAACCTTAAAGTCCAGAGATGGAACAAAGAGGATGCAGATGCACATATCTCTACCTGAGGTAATAGTTATACCTGACACAATAGCAGTGGATCCCTGCACACACTGATGTAACTGGACACATTGCAGCTCAGTGACGGTCAGCATGGACACAGGATATGTGTGAACCTGATGCCTTTTCTCTACACTTTAGGCTCCCTTTCATGAAAGAGAGCAACATGTTATTAGTGGTAGTGTGTCTTAGTCACCTCCTATTTACCCTGTTGGTGAAGGAGCGCTAAACACCACCTGACTCAGAAGAGATAAGATCAACAGCAGGTTATTAGTCACGTCTACTGATGGCCTGGGGGAGGAGGACACAGAACACCTTGCTGGGCCACAGAGGAGTTGCACTCAAGAGCAGAGTGAACAACCAGGGCTGTAGGAAGTAGGCTTTGGAGAATTAAGAGGGTAGGGTGTTCCCAGTTGTTGTGGAATGATGTGATTCACTTGTTTGATTTGGCAGACAAACAGGGAACAAAACCTGCTACTCATGGATAAACAGAAACTGTGCCTGGTCCTCTTGGTAAGGATGGTGGTTTGTCTAGGGTACCTGATCAGTGGGAGTAGAGTGGGGAGGAGAACTTGTAGTTAGGCCATTAGAGACCTATTTTATGAGATATCAAGCCTTAATTTTTGGCTTTATGCTACAATTGATCACTTGATGCTTTGACATCAGTTTAAATCTTGATGATAACTGAGACTTTTAGGGATTAGGAGAAGTGCCTTCCTAGGAAGCAAAGTAGGCACCTGACCAAGGGGTGGTTTGAGGTGGTTGCCAAAAACATTAACTTTAGGTATGTCTCCATATATAACCAGTAAAGGCATTTGAGAGACCTGTGTGACATTGATATAGAGAGTGGGTGTTCCCGGGGCGTGTGAATTGAGGCTAATCAATGCTTGTGGCAGTGGTGACATCAAGTAAGTATAGGGACATTTGTCTCCTTGTGACTTAAATAGTTCTTTGAAAACCCATTAGGCTTATCAATTAAACTAGCTGCCTGGGGCTGACTACCTGAGGCCTCTGGGGAGGCTGCATTTGAATGGAAAGCCTTCTTCAAGATTCCACTGTGTATTCTGAGACATAAGATGAGTGCCTTGGTAACAATCTAGTGTCTCGAACTCCAAATGAGATGAGGAATGTCCTGTTGAGGCCTTGTATTATGGTCTTAGGATATGTAGAGAAACCTGTTATTTTGGTTTATATATTTATATTTGGGTATCTGTGAAACAAGAGATTCACAGAGTTCTTTAAAGTGCAACTCTTAGGCAATGGCCTAAGAGTTGTAAAAATATACGTATGAGGCCAAATGACCAGGGCATCCATTGCCAAGATGAATGCCTGGAGTGTGCCCATTGTGCTGACCCTTGGGTTCTGTTCTTTATCAGGGACATCTTGGTTAAGGAATTAAAAGCAATAAGTCTCCACTGAGCTCTATCATGTATAATGGTGGCAAGATCATTGGTAAAGTGTATGGCCTTCTATTGCTGTTCATTCAGTTGATCCCAGGGGTCTCTCCAGGTAGCCAAGGACTGTAGGAAAGGGATGACTTCCCCTAGCACCATGGTTTTTGGCAAAGGACTGATGGTATAGGAGGCCACCACCTTCTACAGATAGAATATACCAGAAGGCCCAAGCTTGACTCCATCCTGTTGCAAAGAGGTCTCATAGCCACGCCAAATTCATGCGGGTGCTGCTCCAATGTATTACAAGGCATTACAGAAGCTGGGTACAGAGGGTCACAGCCTCAAAGTCTGTGAGACCCTCTATTTCTGGAAAAGCCCAGTGTGGCCAGTAATTGCCACTGTAATGGTGTATAGTGCAAGGCCAGGAAAGGCAGTTTCTGGCATCGAAAGCCCATGAGCAACTTATGACCATCACAGGTGGCCCAGAGACTCCAGGAGGCATGAGATGAGGTTGCAGAAGTCTCTGAGGGCACTATCTGGAGTGCCTGTTGATTTCATTTTGGAGAGCTTCTATAGTCTTTTGTTGAGAAGGTTCCCCTTTAAGATGGGCAGTCTGTAAGTAATAGCATTAGTGAGATTAAAGAAAATTTGCAGAAGAATATGTTGTCTCCAGAACCCAAAAGAGACTAAAAGATGTTAGACTTGTGTTAACCTTGTGGGTACTGAGAGGGTTAATACCTGTTTTTTTGACAGTATCAGGGATGGAGCAGCTTTTGGTTTACCAAATAACTTTCAAGAATTTAACAGAAGTCACAGGACTTTGCACTATGTGAGAGATAGTGATCCACCCTTTTTGTGTGAGTTCCTTTGTGAGTATTTGTATGTTCTCAATGAATATGTCAAACAAATCTTCCTGGAAAAGGATATCATCAATGTAATATACCTGTGCTCCTGGAGAAAGGTGGATGTCATTAAGATCTTGCCTGCAAAGGCTGTGTGCAGTGGCAAGACTGCTGAGGTAGCCCTTGAGTAGCCTGGTAAAAATACATTGTGTCTTGTGGGAGGTAAAAGCAAACTGACTGCTAAGCTGTTGACATTGGCACCCAATGGATCATATTAGCCTAATTCGTAGTAGCAAAATATCTATCAGTTGCTGATTGGATGGAGTCAGAAGTTTCAATACTCAGTTTGTTGGGAATAAGGGCCTGAATTGTATGGGACCATGGCATTAAGGTTGTAGCAGTCTAGTGTGCTGCACTATTTATTTGTTCCAGGTTTAAGAACAGGCTAAATAGGCCAGATTGGGTTGTTAAATGGAGAAGTAGTGGGAATAATCACCCTTGCACTCTATAGCTGTCATATAACAAATTTTAATCCTCAAAACCCCTGTTTTAAATTACTTTGAGCCATGTTAATAATTATTTTAATTTGGGGTGGAGGCAGAGGAGTCATGAGTTCCCATTTTGTCAAGCCAATTTATAAGTGTCAAGATTTAATCTAATTTCCATTTATTTTTAATTGAGTCAGAGCATCCATGTCCATTATGGGATATTTTAGGGCAATGATTGCTATGACCGTGATGGGAAATTTAGGCAAGACAGTAATTATGATGGTTAAGATGAGCCATATCTCTTTGTCCTCTATCCTATATTCCATAACTCCTCTAATATTATGAGGGATACCATGTTTAAATTTAGTATAATCCCTAGTCATAACTGTAATCTGAGCCCTAGTGCCAGTTAAAGCCATGAAGGTTTGCCAATTGCTGGATTTCAGCAGGTATTAAAGTTAATTAAGAATCTATACTGTAGAGGCACAAAAGCCAATCAGTGCCCCTTTATCTTGGCTATATAAATGCTTTCACTATATTTTGAATTCCCAATTGGGTCAAATTGCAGATCTTTGTTTTAGGGTTTTTTTTTGTTGTTGTTGTTGTTGTTGGTTTCCCTCCATATCCAGGATTTTTTTTTTCTTTGCTTTTTTAAATTTCTTTTCTTTCTTTCTTTTCTTTTTTTTTTTTTTAAGTGGTGGTGGTCACTGGACATATTTGGTGCTGGTGGGGTGGTGGAGAGGGATCCTCTTTACCATGATGATATTTATAAGCCTTTTCTCTCAGAGAGCTTCAAATTAGTATCATCAAGGTTGGGGGTTTCCCCCACAGCCTTATAATGGTTGATTTATATGGTTTAAAGAGCCTGGGCTTAAATTGAGTTTGAATTAATGGTGCCATGGGGTACCACAGTGCCATAAAGGTAACATAGGTGTTTCTCTATAACCTCAAGGATTAGGATCTTTATTGCAACAGAGACATAGTAAGCAGAGTGGTACAGGGAAAGAAAGCTAGGTTTATAACCCAGACTCAATAGACCAAAATTATCTCCTGCTGCCACTGCCCTACCTTTTCTGTCTTGTGGCATTTTTCCCTCTTTCTTTCTTTCTTTGTTTCTATCTCTGCACAAATTCCTTGAGCATATTTTGAGTTTGTATCTAGGTGAAATTGGAGCTTTCTGTACAGTCACCTGTGGTGCAGACTTTCTGGGTACTTATGGGAAAACATTAGGGAGCTTAGTGGCCTTTCTCAGAAGTAGTTGCCTCTTCCTCTGGGGAGTGCGAGTCAGTGTCTCTAGGGTTGAGGTCCATATCCAGTAAAGTCATTAGTCTATGGCTTGGATAAGGCCAGCAAGCCCATGATTGCAAGATTGGCTGTTTGGTGTGCTGGTAGGCAGCAGTGCTGAGCCCAGGTGTACTGGCTGTGGGTTTTGCATTGGGAGATCATTTGAGTACCAAACGCTCCTTCCTCTCCCCACCCTTTTCTTTTTTCGTTAGCACCTGTGCCACAGGCCACCATGGATCTTCACCTTAATGCCCTTCGGAGTCATGAGAGTGCAAGCAACAGCAGCTCAGGAAGCAGCAGCAGAGGAGACCAGAAAGGTCACTACCTTTGCATGAACAACAATGGCAACCAGGATACCATGCTTAGCTCTCCATGGGGTGGTCACCTTCATTCCCACAAATGTCACACAGGGCTGCCTCTGTGCCCGTTCCATAGGTGCACCGTTACAAGCAAAGTCCGTATTGCTGCTCCAAGCAGTCAGTGACAGTCACCAGGCTAGACATGGTGATCAGAGAGCTCTAGCCTGAGCTCTGGTAAACAGGACTGAAGTACTGACTGGTTAAGGCAATGTTTTCTCATTGCATTTACAGGCTGAAGCTTCAGAGATCACCTGCCAAACACAGGCTGAACCTGACAGCATGTCACACCAGGGTATAGTTAACAACCATTTTCTTCTTGGGGACAAGAGCATTGCAGAGTTAAAAGAGATGGCATAACAGTGGCACATAGGCCATAGCTCAAGCCCATCAGCAGTTAGCAGTTTTGTCTCAGGTAGCCTTGCCAAATAACTCAGAACCAAATAACCAAGGAACAGTTAATTGTAACTGACTAGGTGTCTTCTGAAATGGTTGGGCATGTCATATGGTTCATAACACCCGTGGATTTTGTTGCTTTCTATTCACCCTATTGGTGAAGGAAAGATTCCTGCCTTGGAGATTCACAGATGCCTAGACACCTAACACCCAACACTGGACAGATGAGATCCTCAGCAGTTTACTGGTCACATACACTCACCACCCAAGGAGAAGAACATTGCGGGGCATGCAGGAGCACGTTGGGGTTGTAACCAGGAATAGTATGAACAACCAGGTGCTGTGGGAGTAGTAGTAACAAGAGTTACTATTAGTTACATTAGGTAACCAGAGTAAGGCTTGGATTTCTAAGAGCGACACGCTCAGTAAAAGGGTAATATGATAAAACCCTAACCTCCTAGGAAGACAGTAAGGAGACTTGCCAGTCTTGACTTTGACTTGGATGGAAATGGGGGAAAGGCTCTCTTAATAACTTATGAACAAAAACGAAACCTCACATTAAATGTGCAAATTTGCAACTGTGTAGTCTATATAATTTGAACAAAAGTCATGCTGAGAATATAAGGCTAATTTTTTTTTTTTTTTTTTTGAGATTGAGTCTCACTCTGTTGCCTAGGCTGGAGTGCAGTGGTGTGACCTCAGCTCACTGCAACCTCCACCTCCTGGGTTCAAGTGATTCTCCTGCCTCACGCTCCTTAGTGTCTGGCATACAGGCACACAACACCACACCAAGCTAATTCTTATATTTTTAGTAGAGACAAGTTTTCACCTTGTTGGTCTTGAACTCCTGACCTCAGGGGATCTGCCCACCTTGGCCTCCCAAAGTGCTGGGATAACAGGCATGAGCCACTGCACCAGGCCTTAAGGAAAATGTTTTTTAAAATATGATCTCAGGGCCAGGCTTGGTGGCTTACACCTGTAATCCCAGCACTTTGGGAGGCCAAGGTGGGTGGATCACGAGGTCAGGAGATCAAGACCATCCTGGCTAACATGGTGAAACCCTGTCTCTACTAAAAAAAAAAAAAAAAAAAAAAAATTAGCTGGGCGTGGTGGCAGGTGCCTATAGTCCCAGCGACTTGGGAGGCTGAGACAGGAGAATGACGTGAACCCGGGAGGCGGAGCTTGCATTGAGCCAAGATCGCACCACTGTACTCCAGCCTGGGAGACAGTGAGGCTCCGTCTCAAAAAAAAAAAAGAAATATATATATATACACACACACACACACACACACACACACACATATATATATAAAATCTCAGAACCCCAAATCACAAAGCAACCAAAGAAATAAGTTTCCATGAGAAAGATTCAACAAAAACACAGTAAACAATAGGATCAGAGAATAAAGAGTTTAGATATTGAAATTTTTCATAGAGAATTTTTTTCACTATTTGAGAAGAATATATTTTGGTTTTAGTACTGTGGCATAATGTATAACTTTTTATAATAATAACTATATATAATATAGTATAGGTCTTAACTGTATCATTCATCATACAGTTATATGTTAAAATAGTTAATATTTATATGCCATAACATGAAGCATGATGTTATGTACTTTCTTCTCCATTTTTCATTTGGAATACATTCTACCATGTGACCCAAAAATGTAAGAACTTGTGACTTGTAACTTTTGTTTAAAGCCATAATCGTGCAATAATGTGCTACAGAAAGATTCAATTGACTTCTCTGATGAAACAAGCTTCATTGTATCAGCTCTACTGTTCAGTGAAATGCGCTTTAAGTAAAAGATAATATAACATTTTAATGCATTGTGTATAATGTACACATGCATATTGTCTATATACTGAACACACATTGTATATGATATTGTTATTACTATTTGTGAAAAATTTTATAGCCTTAATATATTTGAAAGAATAATTGAGGATTTTTTAACTTTTTATTTCTTTTAAACTTACAGAATTTTAATGGGAAAAGCTTATGTCATATGTTAAGCAAACACAGCAGGAAACAGTACAGTATTTTGGAAACTATTTAAAATCCCACAGAAAAAAGACTGGAAGCAAACAGCTGCTCTTGTGTGATATGACTATTGTTTTTATTTCAATTATTAAAATATTCCTTTATTATTTTTACTGTGAGGAAAAAAATATGTAAGTATAAATGACTAATAAGATACTGTAATACAATGAACTAGACTTGAAAAATAAGTAATAAGATACTGTACTAGACTTGAAAAATAAGTAATAAGATACCATAATATAATGAACTAAACTTGAAAAAGAGCAAAGTAGATTGCCTAGAAATAAAAATATAATAATTGGAAGTAAAAACTGTGTGGATTATGCTACTGATTAGGCACAGCTGAAGAGAGAATAGTGAACTATATACACTTATTATGCAATTCTCTGAAGAATCTAATACATTTTTGATGCAGTTGCCATTCTTATGTAGAACGTTTTGCTGTTTTTATGTATTATGTGTATATATACGTATATATATGTAAACGCTCTATGTAAGAATGGCAAAAATGCTCTCTCTCTATAAAAAACACTACATATGTATATGTGTGTGTGTGTGTGTGTGTATATATATATTTAGAGAGAGAGAGAGAGAGAGAAATTGGTTCATGCAATTATGAAGGCTGAGAAGTCCTAAGACTTTGGCAAGCTGGAGACTCAGAAGATCTAATGATATGATTCCAGTTTGTGTTCAAGTCTGATAACCGGGAGACCCACTGTTGTCAGTTCCAGTTCAAGTCTGAGTTTAAGGCAAAAGATTGAAGGCTGAAGACAGCTTGAAGACAGTCAGGCAGAGAAAGCAAATTCTCCTTCTCTCTATCTTTTTATTCCATTCAGGACTTCAATGCATGGGATGTGGCCCACCCATATTGAGAAGGACAATGTGTTTTATGCAGTCCAGTGATTCAGATGTTAATTTTATCTGGAAACTCCCTCACAGACACACCCCGAGAAATGGTTAACCAAGTATCTGAGCACTTTGTAGCCCAGTCAAGTTGTCATATAAAATTAGCCATCACAATTAGCAAACTTCTTAGCAGCAAAAATAGAATAATGTGGAATAACATTGTTAGGTGCTTTCATCCTAAAATAGTATATTTGTAAGAATGAAGATAAAAATAGATCTTTTCAGGCGTCAAAAAACCATAGTTCCCAAAAGAATTTCAAAGGCTAAACTCCAGGGGAAAAGGTGAATTATCTCAGAGGAATTGGAACATGAAAAAAATAATGTTGTGGAAATATAATGGTATTATGGATATACATAGAATACCAATTCTTAAATACTTAGATATATGCTAAGGTATTTAGATATGCAATGTCATGTTATTGGCAGCTTGCTTTCAGTTGCTGAAATAAAAACTGTGTGTGTGTGTGTGTGTGTGTGTGTATGTATGTTTAGAGAGATTAAATATAGCAAAGTGTTGATCGTTGAATCAGGTAGGGAGGCTCGTGCTTGAAATCCCAATACTTTTGGAGGCCGAGGAGGGAAGATCACTCGAGGCCAGAAGTTTAAGACCAACTTTCAACTCTACAAAGAGTTTAAAAATTAGGCAAGAGTGGTGCTGCCCACCTGTAGTTCTAACTATTCGACAGGCAGACAGGACACTGCTTTTAGCTCAGACGATTGAGGCTGCAGTGAGCTGTGATCATGTCACTGTACTCCAGTCTGGGAAACAGAGGGAGACTCTGTCTAAAAATAAAATCTACCAGAAAAACACTATAGCTGAAAGCCATCTATTTAATAATCCTTAGAATTTTTGTCACAAATTATTGGAAACAAGATCTGTTGTTTCCATGATCAAAAATTTCTCCACCAATATCTAATTTTGTGGTGCTTTTGTGAGTCCTCCAAGATCATCATGGTTCAATGACCACATTAATACTCAAAGCCATTTTCAGAAATCAATGGACGATGAGTGTATTTATCTATTTCTAGAGTGTCTATTTTATTTTTTATTCTATTTGTCTACCCTTGAGGAATACCACACAGAATTAATAAGTAAGACTTTGTGAGCCATCAAGTCTGATAGTGTAAGCTCTTTACCTTTCCCTTTCTTTTTGAAATAAGAAGCTATTCTCGGTCTGTTGCATTTTCATATAAATTTTTGGAATCAGCTTATTACTCCTATTATGGTAGATTTGATTTAAAAACTTCACCTTTTAATATGCTTTAATGGTTCTCCTTGACATCAGTCTCTATCTTCAGAAAGTGCGTCTTTTTTTTTTTTTTTTTTTGAGACAGAGTCTCGCTCTGTGGCCACACTGGAGTGCAGTGGCGCAATTTTGACACACTGCAACCTCCAACTCCCTGGTTCAAGTGATTCTCCTGTCTCAGCCTCCCAAGTAGCCGGGATTACAGGCACGTGCCACCACATCCAACTAATTTTTTTGTATTTTTAGTAGAGATGGGGTTTCAACCATGTTGGCCAGGATGGTCTCGATCTCCTGACCTCATTATCCGCCTGCCTTGGCCTCCCAAAGTGCTGGGATTACAAGCAGGAGCCACCGCACCTGGCCAGAAAATCCATCTCATACATACCTTTACTACGTGATTTAGAAGTTTTCATGATTCCCTGGTGCTTACAGGATATGTTCACATATTGTTCATGGTATTCATTTTCTTTGCAACTGTGTCATGACTATGCTCCAACTCATTTTTCCAACTCCATGTGGGCATAACACTCCATGACAGCGAAATGTTTCCTTTTCTCTTATTTGGGACTTGCTTTTTACACTCCCCTCTTTTAGCTTACAGATAACTTCTCTGGCTTAGTAAGCCTTTCATTCCCTTTCTACCTGTGTGGATTCCTCCCAATTTTAAGGCTCTGTATCTGTTTTACAGCCTTTGTGAAG